TCCATCAGCTGCCTGCCTGACGTTAAAATTGGCTCTTATAAATCTGCATGTTTCATTACGTTTGTTCACTTACTCATGTATTAAATATATTAGTAAATTTATGATCCATGCTATGTTATTCTAACATTTTCTGAAATTGAAGATCATCCAAGTCATGTAATGAAACCAATGGCTGTAAAGCAGCAAATTGTTTAATTATGGGCTAATATTGTTCAGGCAAAGCTGCTGTACGTGTTTTAGAGAGCAAGATAAACCTACTGGTAGTCATCAACGATGCTGGACCCAAGAAAAATACCTGGACTGAAAATACTGAAATGTTGCAATGATGGCAGTGGTAAGATAGAATATTACTTCTGTACTACTCAATTGTTTAAATTTGAAGTAAGTGTGTCAATAGCAAATATAAATGTCAAAGAGGTTCAGATAAAACGGTAGATATACCCTAGAGAGGGAGACTGTGGTAGCATTATAGACTTTGTGGTTGGGACTTAATGTAATGACATTCTTTGTGACTTTGTTAAGGGCTTTTTGGTACTATCAGCAGAGATGGAAACTTGATTATGTGAGTCAAGGGTAGACTTTATGTAGATGGTGATGATCCTTATGAAAAAATGGAGATTAAAATTTCCTTCTTGGAAATTGGATTTTCAGTGAAAATGAATAATATCACTGAATGATGTTTAAAATTATTATATGAAACACAGCAGCTGGAATAATACCCTCAAAGTTCTTGGTTATATAAAATCTACAGGCTTACAGTGGTTATTGTTACATTTTTGCTCAAGAAAGGAGAGAAGGATTATTGTCTACTGCTGATAATTTTGTCCAACATCATTTGTGGTCAAGAACTATAGCAAACACTTTGGGATGAATAATCTCTTTCTATGCTGGTAACTAGTTCCATAGATAAGCAATACACATCTTTGATTTCTTTAAAGTTTAAACTTTAAATAAGAATAATGGTATAACTTTTAAATGAAAACGAGTAGCATTAAAATGTAATTTCTGCTCCTCATTGTAGTTGTCCAATCTGAAGATCCATTGTTATGGTACTTCCTGGCTAACTATGTGTGAGGTCCCAGATCCTAAATAAGTAACTGGCCATTTGTCTTACTCAGCATGAAATCTGTGTTCCGGATGTATCACACAACTTGATCGTCTCTGCCTTCCCCGCCATTATCGTGCTAACTTATTAAAATCTTCTGCCCCATCTGCCATTCCCTTTGCCATATGATAGAAGGAGCGAAGTGCCCAAACAACACCAGCTGAAACAAAAGACCCTTCAAGTAGTCTGCATGACTGTCAAGTCAAGATCCACGAGTCTGACCACTGGTCTGCACAGATAGCTACTTTGCATCATAAGTGTAAGTAGGAGAGCTGTGGGACACAAGTTTTCCCTTTTGATGTGGATGTACACTTAGGCAGGGGATCATTGATACTTAGCCTCACAAATATCTCTCATACTGCAAAAGGGAGAATAGTAAGATGATAAAGTTTTAGTTATGTGTTTCTTGCTTAGTTTTTTAAAGTAAATATTACATCTAGTGACTGATTATTTCACCAAATTTCCTTTTATGTGATAAAATCAAAGAAGCCACTTGTGAAATGTTTGTTGACACATTGACCACCATGTTCAGCGTACCTCAACAAATTGTATCCAACAACAATCTTCAGTATACTAATGCATCCTTCTAAGACTTCAAATCATAGAAACATGCAACACAGAAACAGACCCTTCAGTCCAACTTGTACATGCCAACCATGTTTCCCAAACTAAATGAGTACCATTTGCCTGCGTTTGGCCCATATCCCTCGAAATCTTTCCTATTCATGTACCTGTCCAAATGTCTTTTAAGTGTTGTAACTGAACCTGCTGCTACCACTTCCTCTGGCAGTTCATTCCACATACAAACTGCCCTCTGTGTAAAAAAGTCAATTCTCATCTCCCCTTTAAATCTTTCTCCTCTCACCTTAAAAATACCCTCTAGTTTTGAACACCCCTACCCTAGGGAAAAGACCTTTGCTATTGACCTTATCAATGCCCCTCATGATTTTATAAACCTTTATAAGGTCACCCCTCAACCTCCTGCACTCCACTGAAAAACGTCCCCGCTTATCCAGCCTCTCTTATAACTCAAACCCTCCAGTCACATGTGCAGGAAATGGGGTATTCAACTTATTACCTCTTCTCTTAACCAATGTCAATTGAAATGTTCTCGCAGAACACTGCATTGCCTTTAAAGTTGATTATAAGATCAAATATTGCATTGAAAATGTTACTCTAGATGTTCGAGTAGCTTTAGTGACATCACAATTTCATCATGACTGCAAGAATTGTAGAAGGGCAGGGAATTGAGACATTGGCATTCTTTTTCTGATGTCCTTTTATGAGAAATTGAAAACATTATACTTCTGTTTAATTTGTGTGTTTTTTTTGAATTACGATATTTTAAAGAACAGTATAAGTGCATTCATATTTGCTCCTGGAAAGTGGGTGTTGCTAGACAGGCCAAAATCTATTATCCATCCCTAATTGCCCTCGACAAGGTGGCGGTGAGCTGCCTTCTTGAACCACCGTTGTTCTAGGGGTGTCGGGCTACCCACAGTGCAGTTAGTAAGGGCATTGCTAATTAAAAACTTTCTATCCCTTACATTTATTCAGTGTACTGGTGTCCGCTGCACTTAAAGGTGGTGAATCCCACAGATTCCTGATCATTTGCAAGAAGTAATCTATAAGTCTGTTTTAAACCTGTAACCTCTTAGCTTGAAAGCTTTTTTTTGTAGGAACAGTTTGGAATTGTCCACAGGGCAATTTCAAATACCCACTTTGAAAAACGTTCAGCAGCCTCTTGCATTTATTTCAAAGAGAGAACACTGGAGAAACTCAGCAGGTCTGGCAGCATCTGTGGAGAGAGAAATAGAATTAACGTTTTGAGTCTGTTATGACAAGACAACATCGGATGCATCCTATGGACATCAGTGCGCAGTTCCTGTTTGCATCCTAAGGAATATGACATATTGCTGTCCAAAACATGGACCACTTTCTCAATAGTGCATCTCATTCATTCAAAGCTATGAGCCATTATGGCACACATGAGCTGCATGGACTCTTTCATTCTTAGCCCATAACTGCACATAGCCTCAGGAAACTGTGACATGTACAGGAAATCTGTTGCTGCTTCACAAGGTGGGAGCTCTTTTCCAATGACTACTGAAGGCTTGCACCAGGATTATATCTATCTTCCCTCCTCTGAAGGGAACTGAGCACAGTTGTCTTTTGCTTTTTTAAAAAAATGTTCTTTTGATTACTGTGGCATCAATTATAATAAAGTAAATATTTCATCTATCATTAATCAAATGTATGTGCCTATTTTATTTCTATTTCACAGTAAAGAACTTAAGAGGTTGCTTTAATTTGGAATTATTACATTTGATCTCCAAATATAATCATTTGTAAGTTTAGATTGTACATTTCAACTTAATTGGAACTTTTTTTGTATTCGGATATCTTGGACTAAAGCAAGGTGAATACAGTTATATTAATTAAAACGTTTTCAGGCAAAGATACGGGTATTGAAGCATTGTGTGTTCTGCACCTCATGACAAAATGAGCACTGTTCCTCGTGAAATATGATACCTCTGAGCTTTTGTTTGGCAGAGTCACTGTAATTAAAACGCACACAGGGACACAATTGGAATTAAGCCTGAGTGCATTTCCTATATCATTTCTGTATAAGGGAAGTAACTTTTTGCGTTAAAAACGCTATAATTTTAAACTTTAATTCCGTAAAATGTAAATTCCTTTCAAGAATTTGCAAACATTTCGTCAAATTGCATTTGTCAAGCAACTAAGATAACGAGGGTTTCAATATTATACTTCGCCAGTCTAAAAATGCTTGTTGATCATGCAAGATAATCAAAAATGGAAAGGACTTCGGTACATAAGGTTTTACATGTTGTTTATATTCTGTGTTTGGAGATCCTTCAGTTTTTGTCTTCGAAATCTCCATGCTGACTGATTTAAATAGCAGATTATTTACCTCGGTTCAAGTGGCGTCATAACTCCCATTTGCTAGAGCCTTTGATAGTGCTGAACCTAGACGAATCGGAATACGCTGACAAGATATTTTGTGTGTAAGTAGGCTAATTTGTCTTGCCCCTTCTGATCTCATTTACAAACGAAAACTACATGAAGGCTGCTTCAGCAAGTCCGAGGAAGTGCCTTTTGTCTCTCCCCCACCATCCTTCGACGTGAGGCAGTGTTGAATAATCTAAAGTTACAATCGAGTCTTATTTCCATTTTTGTTTCATTCACTTAAAAGCTAGGTTATATTAGTAACCATTCATTCAAATAGAAGTGTGAATCAGAGGTCGAACAGGCATAGTTCACTCTCTTTGCTTTAAGTTTGAGTAGGAAGGGAGGTTCAGCCCATGCTGATTCTTGGAAAGGTAGCCGGTGATTGGGTGAAAAATGTAATAACATGCGGCTGTGGAGTGAGGAGACTGGTGGTAACAGACAGCACCGTATCATCACCTCATTTTAGACGAGTGCAAGTATAGATAAGTCCAGTTGATTTGATGTGTCCTAATGTGCAATTTTAGATTACCTGTGCAATCTTTTTTATAATGCAATGCACACATACTTGCAATGATTGTGGAGCTGACCAAGATATGCAAGTTCGTTTGTCGTCATCTCTGCTGGTAAGTAAGGAATGCTAAATAAATAATCAACATAGAAAAATGTGAACGTTTAGAGAGGGATTTGAAACACTTTAAGCATTTGTTTTGAAATCTGGATGGTATTATAGTTAGTAACATGATTGTTTTGTTTTTATCTGTAGACTAAAATTTGGACAGTTTTCATTTAAAAATTGAAGAGATTTCAATTTTCAGTCATCTATAAGTAGACCATTAAATGATTAATTCATTTCACTTGCTAACATGGTTTAGCATATGCACCTATTACAATTTATGCCTTACCCCTTGGTTTTTATATGCAGGTCATTAAAGTATTTAATGAAGATAGCACCAGTCAGACATTGGAGGTACCAAATGACATCATAGCTCGTGATGTCTCTCAGTTGTTTCTCATGAAAAATCACTGTGTCAATGACAATACCTGGACACTCATCGAGCACCTTCCTCATCTTGACATGGGTAAATGTGAACATTATGCTTATGAATTTATCCACATGAAGCTGAATTTTTCATTTTTGCTTAACTTTGTTGCCGTATAGGTTTTATTTAATGCCATGTGTTACAAAGGAATCTTTTTACTCCATATATGCAAGTTGTATGCATGTTCTGTACTGTAGCTCATAGTTTATAGTATCATTCCTCTCTTCAACTTAGGCAATTGTTCAGTTGCACAGGCACAATTTTAGTGCCTATAACAGTGCATATAGAAGCATCTCTTTGAAACAATTAGCTCAAAATTATATTGTCCAGTTGTCTGCAGGTAGTCAACTACAATTTTCATAGAGGCAGTCCATCAAGGTAATTTTCATGATAGCCTTTCAATGAGTTTCTAATGATGGTGAATTGGCTGACTGCTTCATATTCTCCAAGATTTTACTTTAACTTTCAACAAAATCTGGTGCCAAGTTGAGAGTAGAATCAATCCTGTCAGTAACTCACTTGAAGGACCATGTTAAAATAACTTCTATATTTTGGCAAAATATCCCACTTGTCACTATTTTACTACTCCAAAAACTACCATTTTGATTTAAAAATGTTTCCGATTTGTTGATTAAAGCTAATACTTTCTGTGAAAATTATCCACATTCTCTGCTGAGTATTGTTTCATTAACTGGATCCACTCCACTTGTATTTATTATTTTATTGCACTGTTGAGGAACATCTGAAATCTTCATTAGTGCATGATTTCCCTTTTTACTGATAAAAAGTATTGATTGAAAATTTTAGCTTTGCAGTTGACCTAGACAAAATAGCTTTATTTGGAGGTCACAGTTCCACATGTTTTCTCAACTTTTTGAGGACTTTGAGCTTAAGCTGAGATGTAACTCAGCACGTTGAGCAGTATCAATGGAGTGAAACTGAACTAATGTTTCAAATCAAAGCAAATCGAAGCAAGATTTATGGAGGCTGGAAATCTGACACAAAAACAATCTGCTGAAGAGACTGTTGCAGCATCTGTGGAGAGAGAAGCTGGGTTAAATTGAGTTCTGACGAAAAGTTAAATCAGACTCAAAACATTAGCTCTGTTTCTCGCTCCAGAGATGCTACTTGACCTGCTGAGCACTTCCAGCATTTTCTGTTTTTATTTCAGATTTTCTGTATTTATGATACTTTGCTTTTAAGTCACCCTTGAAATGCTTGGCTCAAGTCTTAAGGTTGTACCATTTTGTTCTGCACTGTGCATACAATCTCTCTATCCTATCAAATCATTTACTCACCTCAATCAGAGCAATGTTTCTTCCTCCATTCTTCAGGAAAAAAATCCTAATCTAACCAAATTGTCCTCAATTTAACCCTTTCAGTCAACTTAATTTTTTAATCTGTGGTCAATGGCTCAGTGTTGCTGGTCCAAGAAAACTAATGTGCCCGCCATTTAGTTAAGCTTAACCTTGTCTTTGTTCTTTGGGTTATTAAAACATTTGCATCACAAGTTGCTGCTGATAATGCTGCTGCAAGGGGCAAAGGACAAATATTAACTAATCAGTTTGAAGGATTATGAAATTAATAGTGCAAGGACTGACAAAAAGTGTAAGTAAAGAAATGAATTTGATGTGAAATCAGAAATAAAAAGCAAAATGGAGTGAATGATTAGCTTAGGAGAAGAAATTTAAAATTAGTATTAAATTACATCTTTTAGAAAGAAAATCACCAATGCCAATGAAAATCTGACAGACTGAAACTCCACACTGGTATGAATTACTTTTTAATTCCAGAGAGATTGATCAATACCGTAGAAAACTTATTGCATTAAGAGTATTTGCTTTCAGAGTGAAGAGCACTTTCTTTGCTGAGCTCTTCATGTACCATGAAAATACAACAGCTTCTTTGAATGCATTTCAATGGGGTGACAGCTAATGAACTGCTGCTTATGAAAATCCAATCAGTGCAACCTTTGGATGTTTAGCATAAACCATATGAGATTTGTAAACAAAATTGGAGCCTGTGAGATGAAAGGCATTGTGTGGATACCAATTTGGCAAAGACAAATTATACAATAGTGGTAAATGGTTGTTTTTCAGACTGGAGGGAAATATATTTCACCACAGGCCAGTATTAAACCCATTGCTGTTTAAGTTAATGAGTTGTGCCTGGGCATACAACAACGACTTGATTACTATCTTTAACATAGTAAAGAATTCTAAGACACTTTGCATGGGCATTATCTGGTTACCCACACTGAGTTACATAGGCATAGAAAATTTCAAAGTTTTCTGATGAACAAATTCAGAAATATAGTAAACAGCAGAGATGATATAACTAAACCTCTTGCCAAGATGAACTACTGAAGTGGGAGGTGCATTTTTTTTTAAAAAAGGAGCAGGAATAAGTCACTCAACTCTTTGAACCTGCTCCACCATTCAATATGATTAATGCTAATTTGCTTCAATTCCAGCTTCTCAAATATTTGTTAATTCCCTTAGTATTGACCTCTTTTGAATAAACTCACTAACAGGGCCTTGTACCATGTAGAATTCCAAAGAGCGCAACCTCTTGACTGAAGAAATTTTGGTTTTTCTCAATCCTAAATCACTGACTCCTTATGTGACTGGTTCTCAACCCCTCCCTAGTTCTTGACCCAGGCAGTAGAAAAAACCTTCCTGCATTTACTCTGCTGAGTCCCTTAAAAATTTTGTATGTTTCAATTAGATCACCTGTTATTCTTCTAAATTTCAGTAAATATAAGCCCAGTCTACTTAATCTCTCCTCATAGGACAGTCCCCTCATTCCTGGAATCCCAAGTAGCGAATGTTTGATGCATCCCCTGTGAGGTTAGTGAACTGTGCATAGTGCTCCAGGTGCAATTTAATGCAGAACAGCATGTAAATATAAATTTTTGGAGAGATGATAAAAAAGGTATTTTAAACAACATTGTGTTGCAGGAACTAAGAATCAGAGTGCGCATATTGAAATAGCAAATATTACACTAAATCTTGAGTAGATGCTGACTAAGTTCCAATGAAAAAATCGTAGCTAATTCCAGCTGCTACACTTTCAGCAGTATATTCTATCCTTGGAGGATAGAGAGGAGGTTTAGCAGAATGTACGTTGGATTAGAGACCTCAGTTACATGATGAAGCATGCAAAATTGGGATGATTCTTGTCAGGGGGAAGGGTTCAGGGCAGATCTGGTAGAGGTGTATAAAAAAATCATGTAAGAATTTGGTAAAGGTAACTGTAAAAAAAAAAAAATCAAAAATGAGTGTGATAGGCATTTAGACTTACAGGGAAACATTTGACAGGGTGTTGGGGATAAATAGACAAGTGAGACTAATTATACAGCTGTTTCAAAGAGATAGCACAGGCACAATAGACTAAATTATATCCTATGCAGAATTAATTTTAGTTTCTATAATTTTCAAAAACGTTATGATAATGTAGTAACATTTTTTTTGAGATTATTGGTTAGGATTTGGGTTGGATGGGAAATGATTGCATTTCTGTAGAGAGAAGGTTGTTGTTAATAACTGGTCAAGTGTGGGGGTCAGTTATTAATGTGACCTCCAGACAGTGATTTCAGAGCCATTGTTAATCTGGACAAAGACAATGCAGAGTGTGTTGGAAGATCTAGATGAGACATGGAGTGGATAAGCCCCTGACATGTTGCACAGAAAAATTGGGCTAACGTTTAAGCATGTGTTCAAAGACATGAATTTAGGGCTGTTGAGTGGAAGGAACATTTTGATATCATAGTGTGTGATTTTCTGAGGGTTCACAACCAGAACAGTATTGAAAAAGCTTTGGGTGTATTGCTTAAATGATCAAGTAAAGCCTTAAAATACTGTATTATTCTTGGTTTGACCTCATTTAGACTACTGCATGCATTTTTACTCACTTCACATGTTCACTGACATGGAAGGCCTTACAAACAGATTTAGAGATAGTAGGAACTGCAGATGCTGGAGAATCTGAGATAACAAGGTATAGAGCTGGATGAACACAGCAGGCCAAGCAGCATCAGAGGAGCAGGAAAGCTGGTTTCGGGCCTAGACCCTTCATCAGAAATGGGGGAGGGGAATGGGGTTCTAAAATAAATAGGGAGAGAGGGGGAGGCGAATAGAAGATGGATAGAGGAGAAGATAGGTGGAGAGGAAACAGACAGGTCAAAGAGGCGGGGATGGAGCCAGTAAAGGTGAGTGTAGGTGGGGAGGTAACAGCAACACTCAGCCCTGCCAGGTCTTCACCATCCCCCCAGACCTCCCCCTTACTGAGGACAAACGGTCACTCCTCAGTAAAGGACTCACCTTTGTCCCCCTCCACCCACACATCAGCGAATACCTGTCACGTTTGGACATAGAGCAGTTTTTCCGCCGCCTCCACCTCCACGCTTACTTCTTCAACCGCGAGCCTAACCCTCCCTCTACTGACCCCTTCTCTCGCCTCCAACACACCCCCTCCTCCTGGACACCACCCCAAGGCCTCCAACCCTCCCTCGACCTCTTCATCTCCAACTGCCATTGAGACATCAATCGCCTCAACCTCTCCATTCCTCTCACCCACTCCAGTCTCTCCCCCGCAGAACGTGCAGCCCTCCGCTCCCTCCGCTCCAATCCCAATCTCACC